CATATTTTTAGTCTTAATAGTACCAATATCAGTAAAATATTGCTGAATTAAAATTCAGCCATTCATTATAATAAAACAGTGTAAAGTAAATATTAAACCATGGATATTCCTTAGTACCTATATATAATTTTTTATTTTTTTTTTTGTAAATTTAATTAATTTTGAAACGATAAGTTTTGTTTGAAGATGCTAAAAGTTCTAGGAAGTAGTACTTGATAGACTTACCTCCAATGAGACAAAATGAAAATTAAAAATGTGAAATTTATTATAAAGCTTAAAAAAAATGTTGATCACTAAATAACTTTATGTTGATTACTATATAGATTATCAATATGAAATTTCAGGTATTTTGGAATGGTTTAAAGTTTCGTCAGAATGGATTTAATTTCCAATATAATTTTTTAATATTGTATTCTGTATTCACTTGTTTTTTTAAATAAAAAATTTACTATTTGTTTTTTCTTTAACATTTTTCCTTCTTTTGTCAGTAATTATTTTTTATGAATTTGTTTTCCGAATCAACATAATAATATATTGTAATTATATAAATAGATAGAAGTAAGTTTTTATTATTTTGCTTTAATTATATGCTTGTATTAGTATTAATTATTACAACATAATAAAGTACTGACCTTGATTAGGTTCGATCAATCCAATTTTATTTGATCTGTACATATGATGAAAGAATTGGAGTGCGGTTATAATTCAATGTGGTTACCGATTTTTCTGTGTTTCTATTGTCATTATTTTCTTCTTATCCTTCATAATCCCAAAATAATTGGTAATGGGAATATCCATGATTTGCTTTTTGTATCCTAACTTTTGTTGATTTATTCAATTTTAAGTGGGATTCTTTTGATGATGAAAATGTTTTTCATAAAGAAAATATCTTTATTACTTTTAAAAAGGAAATTCATGTCAACACTTTAAGTTTTATATATGTCTTCATTTCTTGATTTTTAATGATCTTTTAACATAAAAGTATGTTGATTATTTTGAGTGTGAATAGAAAGGACTGCAAAAGTCTGGTTTTACGTAATTCATTTATAAACTTTAGTCATATTGAAATGATAATGGTTGGTTTTTGTTTTTTATTTATCAATATCTTAATTATTTAGGTTGACTACTTTTTGAAATATTTATGAGGAATTTGATCAATCATATTTACTTACTTCAAGAAATATATATATATATATATATATATATATATATATATGTATACATCTTATGTCAATTAATTTCATTTAAAATTTGTGACATCTGTATGTCACCTCCATGTCTGTTTTTATTGTTTATTTTAATGTGTGTTCATTACAGAATTTTTTAATGTGATAAAAAATAAGTAATCATCCATGTATTACATCTTACGTTTTTCTCTCTTCAATACCTTTAATAACAGAAAATATATGTTTATTTTATTTACTTATTAAACTCTTATAATGGTCGAATCACACAGGATAATTGAAGGGGATCTTCAATTGTGATATTATTTATATGTGTTCTCCTACCTTTTGTACAAAATTAATTCTATGTTTTCAATTTTACTATAGATAACTGTGAAAATAACCTTTCTCTCCCATAATACAGCATTATTTATGCACATGCATTCTCTAGTTCTACGGCTGTGATGGATTAAGTTCATGCTTTACCTATTTCCTTTTATATTGTATTTCTAACTTCCTGCATCGTTTAAACATGTGAATTTCTTCAATATACTTTTATAAAAAAAAAAAAACATTTTTTAGTGGCACCTGAGAATATTAATAAATATTAAGTTTTTAAACCAATTTTTTTTTAAGTAGCCATTAAACTTGAGCCATTAGGAAAAAGAAAAGATTGGATTTGAAAAGAAAATCGAAATCCACGTAATTGACCTGAAACCCCATAAGTATTTTAACATTTTTCTTCAAGATATATTTTCTAATAATTGTGTGAGTAGGTATGTGTATTTTTTATTAATAGATATAAATTAATTGTTTTGTTCAAGTTAATTTTGAATCTGAACTATTTTACGTTAAGTCTAAAGTAAGTATTCTTGTTTCAAAAAACAGTTTCCTTCAAAGTAACAATTATTAAATCTTATTTGGTTGAATGGTTTTGATGGATTCAGTAATTAGCTACCTCCTCACCATCGTGGTCGATTCCTTGGTTGGTCCGACTAAGAACAGTCACTGTTTTTACCAAGTAACTGTAAAGATGACATCTCAAAATACCGGACATTCTTTAGAGACTCGTGGTCTAGATCTATTATTGGAAAGAAAATCCAAAAAGCCATTTCAGAATAATTGTGAAGTGAATATTTGAATCCATTATATGTGGAGACCTCCCTGTTGAATCAGGCCAAATATCAAATTGAGAGTTGGACATGTCTCTTCCATTTAGTTGAAGTAATGACAAGGTGTGTAGAAAGTATGGACCCAGAGATGAAAAGTTACTTAACAGTTTGCCGGAAGAAATGGCATCGTTTGTAGTCTTGTTGCTAGTTGTCCAATTGAAGAGAGTTAATTGTAGCAGCTAAAAAATCCAAACATACAGCAAAATGAGAACTGTAGTCTGTTGACTCTGGCACCAATAAAGAAATAAATATTTTAATAATAATTCATGCTGTTTGATCTTATTTGTTTAATAAATATTTGAAATATATCCATTTTCTATATTGAAATTGAACTTAGTAAATACAATTAAAAATAGTTTAATAATCTTTTTTTATTTAAAATTTATGATCTGTTGACACTTAAAAATTTTGAAATACTTCAATTTCTTTGTGATGCTGGAAGTTATTGGGACTTAGCCTAAAATACTGGCCAGAATAACATGAAAAATATAATTAAATTGGTGAACCAGTGTAGAGAATCTTTTATTTGTTCATTATTTGAGCAATAATGGTGTGAAACTTGATTTTATATTTTGAATCAATCTCAAATATTGTTTTTTATAATAGTAGACTAGAAAAAAAATTACTTAATTTTTGTATACGTTTTGGATCTAGTACTTTTGATATTTATCGAATTTTTAAATAGTGTTTCTTCGATAAGGAGTAGTAATATGACAACATTTTAATTTAAGGTAAGTATATATTATTTATGACACATGATCTGTGTAAATATATTTACTTCATTAATTTATGTGTGTAATAAAGCCTCATCTAAAGGAAGATGTATCTTTTTGTATTATACTTTCAAAATTTTATCTAAATTATTCAGCCAATGATATGAATGTATATTATATTCTTAAATTCTCTGTACTCTTTTTTTTATGTTATTCATTTGAAATATATTTTTTTTATTTGCTTGGTATGTTTTTCATGTTTTTTTCTTTATTATTAGCTATGGGAATTGACCTATTGACTGTTATAAATTATAATTTGGATATTTCTGAATTTATGATTTCCATAGCTTCACTAAAATAATCCAAATAAGCTGAGTTTAATAATTTGTAGTTCACAACTTTTTATCAAATAAATTTTTTTGTATTTCTGAATAATATTTTGTAAATGTTTCTAAGGCATCAAAACTGCTTATTTTCTTCATACAAAACCACAAGACAAGCAAAATAATTATTTTTGTATTATTCTTACACACCTAATCGATCATAATATTTATGTTTTTAAAGCCATAATAAAAAAAAAAAAATTTAAATAATTATGACGAAATTCTTCTGATTCATATATTTTTAGCATGTTGCGAGCTTGATCCTGTGATTTTTAATCGACACCAGTGGTCTCCCACGCTATCGGTACTATTCCAAATGCTTGTTCATGGACACTGCCATCTCGCGTATGTCCAAACTTATGATGCTGCTTACGCCAATCATTGATGTTCGTGATGATCTGCCATATTCTATAATTCTTACTTTGAAGAGTAAACCTACTAGTCCATAAAACTGCAACTGATTAAATAGTGGTATTAATGTTATCCCCTGAAACTGTCTCATTACAACTTGACAAATATAATATTTACTAGGCTGAGCCTGCTTCTCAATCCCTTCATCGTTTCACACTATCTACTTTTTCTTCCTACTTTCACCTTCATATGTAGGTATGAATAAATCCAATTATTTCAAGATGTGTTAAAAGTCGTTCCACATGCTCTAGATACTTGTCATACCAAATCGTGCATGCTAACTGTTCTAAAAAGTTATATTGTTAAAAGTGAATCCCATCCAGATTCCCTAGTCTTGTAGTAACTTTACTTATGGCAGTGTATTAAAGTACCAAGTTTTTGTTTATATTTGTTTTTTATTTAATTATTCCTTATTAATATTATACTATTGTTTTTGTATTTTTAAAATGGTCACTGTATGTATATTTTCTCATGTTATATCTGGGTAAACAAAAGTACATGAAATTTTAATAAATATCTTTTAAGTTTTATAAATATTTCAATTTTTTTCTTTTGAATATCAGATGCATCTGAATGTTCTGTATTTGTATTCTAAATGTTAAATTTGCTTCCTCTTAAATATGTATTTAATTAGATTTAGTCATATAAGTAAACATTGTCTACTTTTTCATTTAATTCTATTCTATTAAATAAAATATAACTCTTAAAATTAAACCTTAATAATATATTCATCGGGTCAATAAGGGATGCAGTATGAAATTGTTCTTTTATACAAAGCGATGGGATGGAATGTATTACCATTATATCTACTATTCCTTAATGTTATGTGCTTTATTAATAAAAAGACAATTATCCCCCTTATAAAATATTAATTGCATTTTATGTACTCCTATTATTGCTTATACCATTTGAGCCTATGAATTCAGTGAATTTATTTACTTTATTATAAGAAATAGTATTAATAAAGAATAATAGAACTGGCATTGTTATGTAATATTTAATTATTTTTATACATTTATCTCTTATCACTTGATATTTTGATTGTCTTTTTAATTCATTTAAAATAATTTTTTTTAAAAATTATTAATGTAATATTTCTTTTTTTTTTTTTTTTTTGTTCTACTCGAATCTACACTGTTTTGTTTATTTGTTTCATAGGCCAATGAAGTGAAAAAGGCCTTAGCTGAAACAGTACTTCTTAGTGATGGTCGCTATGGATATGTTATCACAGAGGTTGAGGATGCTAACGGACCTGACAAATGGAAGTGTCACGTCTGTTCCAGGGTCATCACGACTGAGAGGGCTATGCTTATGCATTTATCACATCCCATTCACATGAGCAGGCTTCGAGTTCCTCATCATCCTCCTGGAAATTTTAAAAAGATTATAAAATCTAAAAATGATGGTAAGCCTCATAAACTCAAATCCATCGATTTTTTTTTTAATGAAATGTTAACTATATCTAATGTACACCATTATATCCATCTCCGTTAGCAACTCTGTTTACAGATATTATGTTAGCTATCTTTTATTAAAGATGTATTATTTAGTAGATCAGGATATTTGTTTACCAATGACAGTCTCCACATTTTTTAAAAATATTAACTTTATTCCTAGAGAAGCTTTCAGCGACCTGCACCATATTCATCTCTTATTTTTCTATTTTAAAACCATAGATTAGAACAGTGTTTGTTCTTTGTCGAATTTTCAGAAAAGAGGGCTCCTCTTTGTCCGATTACAAATATTTGTCCTAAAATTACCTGATGTATTATTTTTGTTTACTCATTGTTCGTTCGCATTTGTAGAAAAGTTTTTAAGTATACAGTTTTTAGTATAAAATGAATGAAGATATTTAAAATGTATTGATTATTGATAATAATGAATAATATATTTAATATGTGAAAATGGTATTTTAAAGTATTACTTGAGCAACCTCTAGAAGCAGCACAGGTTCAAATTCATTCTGGATGCCATTGGCAGACCTATAGAGAGAATCTCATTGATGAATCTGTATCTTCCCACTCAGGCTTGAATAGGTCGGTTAACTGTAGTATAACTGGTCATTTTCACTCTTGTCAGTATACATTATGAAGTTAAACCCAAATAAATAAATAAATGTATGTAAATAATAAATAAGAAAGAAATATTTAACTCACTGGCATAATTCTTCCTCCAAAATCTAATGATCTTGCAGATTCTTCCATTTCAGCATATATAGATGTATATTTAAAACAAAAAATTATACAGTAAAAAAAAATTAAAATCGTACTGTGTTCAATATTGGGGGGGCCCGGTACATGCCATATGACCAGGAGCCCTTTTCTTGAGATATACAAAATAAAGAAATGTTCTATAGAGGAATACTTGTGAATATATATAAAATAGTTTACGTACAGTTTGATGAGGGGGCCGGTCTCGCGCCTTCTCTCTCTCTCTCTCCGCCGTTCTAGGTCCAGGAAATAGCCGAAGGGCTGTAGCTCTGGAGGTCTGGTCAGCAGGTAGGTCGTAAACCCTGCTTCTTACTCCCTTCGCTCGCTAGCATCTGTCCTTTGGCCGTAGATAAGGCCGTCTTAGGGAGGGGGTAGTACAGGATGAGACAGGGGCCCCCCAAGTTATTCACACAGGTCAAATCATAGCATAGTAAAACAATAAAATTTTTGATGTAAATCCAACATACTGTTTTCACATCAAATTTTAAGAATTCGTCCTTCAGTATTATTTTTATCTCTGAATTTGTGACAGAAATATTTCTTGACATTTTTTTTTCTAATTAAAAATGGATTTGTGACTGACAAGGAAACACATGTAAGAGGCTATAATTTCTTTAGAATTTTACTCGCCATAGTAGGAAAAGGCTCGAATGTGGATTCAGAAAGTAGTCTTGATTTTTATATGGGTATTATCTTAGAATTTATTTTATTTAAAAAAATAAAATAAGGTTTCAAATGTCAATTAAAAGTGGTGAAAAATGCTAAATATTCTCATTGTTAGATCATTAAAGTTATTAGGTTATAGTTATTCAGCGGTGAACTAAAGAGAACAAATTGATACTTAGTTTTTATGAAGATACTTTTTATAGCATAAGAGAATCTAACAATTGATCACATGTAGCTTATCAGTATGACATGTTGTAATGTATATAATAAAAAAAAAAAAAAAAAAAATAATAATAACAATTGATGGATGGAAAGGTTTCAGAAGCCCATAGAATATTAAAAAGAATGATCTAAATGTCACCGTAGTTTTAATTAGTTGAATTTTTAAAATAAAAAGTAAAATAAAAATTAATTAAATGTATTCTTATGACCACATTTACATTTTCTTTCCAGCTTTCAAAAAAAATAACCTTAGTCCAAGAATGGAAGAGCAAGAGGAGAAAGGAGGAAATAATAATAAAAAAGATGGAATTAGTAGTAGAGGTACTTATATATGATTAAACCTGATTTATTTATTTTTTTCATTATTCAATTCTTGAAAATCTAGTGATATGATAAAACCGTTTAACAAATGTTTTCTGCTCTTGGTGATTTTTTATATTGATATGGTTTTTCATACCAGTTCTCCACATTTGGAATTAAGTTTAGGAAATATCTTATATTACTACATATTGACAAGTTATGTCAATTCTAATTCTAATTGACGCATTTAAATATTTTGTGAATAACCTTCTGGCTATCTTTATATCCCAAAGAAATCTTAGGCTTCTTAGCATGTCATTCGGTATCTGTTCTAGTTATAATAATGAAATCTGGTTTTTGTTTAAAACATTTTTTCTATATATTTATAAACTGTCACTATCATTCATTAAAATTTACATGTGATTTTATATTTCTTTCAACTTATCATTTTCAAAACAAAACTATTCCAATCAGTTAAATTTACTAAAAACAGTTGATATAAAGCAAAAAAAAAAAAAAAATGAAATTTGAACTCTCCACAATCAACAAACCCAAACCAGTACTATACTTCATCTCAATCAATTTTGCCTTCTTACTAAAAACTTTTTTAAAAATCAATATACCATTAATTTAAATTTCAGCTAAACATTTATCTTTTTTTTTTTTCCCTTAGAAGAATTGTGGTCTAACACAGTACGCCCTGGAGAACCTATACCTCCAGGTATGGAAGATATGGTTGAGAGTAAATGCCAAATTCAAGAATCTTTAGATAATTATACTGGGGGTCCACTTATTGGAATTGAATATATTGTTGAACTGGTATGTATCTTTAGTTATATGTATTTTGATGAATAATTAAGTGCCACTATTTGGACTTATGGACTTGAACTTTGGGGGAAAGCAAAATTTTCTGACATCAAATGCATCCATTCCTTTCAGTTCAAAGTCCTCCGAACAATAGAAAAAAATAATATCTAATATAGAAAGTAATGGAGAGTGCCAAAAAATTATAAATAATAATTTGTGAAAACTAATATCATTTACTGAAATCACGTGTTTTCAAAGAAATTAAATGAAATTTACTATCTAAATGTAAACTTTTTAATTAAAAAAAAAGTATTTAAAATCCACCGAATTAAGACAATGACATTGTTTAAAATACTATTTCATTGTACTTGCGTGAAAGAGGTAAAATATAAAATATTCCAGAGATATGCTTATAACCTTAAATACATTTACTGTAGTTTAATAATTCTAGATCTGATATTATGTTTAAATAATTAGGTATCTATCATCCGTTTATTCCACAAAATCATCATATAAACTTTTAGAAAAATAAATTAGTGAATAATTTGATGAATTTTCCCTTTGTAATATCGCACCAGTATCCACTTACAATCAGTGGGACAACTTTTGACCTATCTATGATAAGCGATGCAAATCTCGTAGTTCCATTTTAGTAAACTTTGCAATGAAAAATAACAGTTTAATAACTAATAGTCGTACAATCCATAATCATCGGTTGATATAATAATAGCATTTTTGTTATTTTAATGATTTGTAGACTTTAAGCTTTAGCTTGGTTAAAAATGTACTTCAAAAATTTTATAATAGAACACCATTGCCAGAAAATAATTTATATTCAAAGTTGAGCGGTAAGTGAAAGTTGTGTGTTGCGCGCACCAGATTTTTTTTGTTTTGTAGGAAATTTAGTCATCATCATAATCATGTCCCTCTTTACCGCTTATGCAGTGAGGTTGCTTTTTGTAGAGCTTGGACCTTTCCAGTACCAGCTCTCGTCTCCTATTCCATTCTAAACTTCTCTTCGGGAATGCATCTCGCATGCACTCCATCTTTCGCAGGTATCGCATCTCTAGAGCCTGGATCTGTCTCCTGTGTTTCGAATTAAGTGTCTAGGACTCGGAAGAATACGTCAGTATAGGAAGGAATACTGATTTGTAGACCGTCATCTTCGTTTCCTTGGTCACCTATTTTCGGTTCAGGAAGCCTTTCCTAACCGAGTCGAACATTCTTCCAGCAGCTCCTATGCTCTGCCTTACCTCGTCTTCAATATATCCATTTTCGTTGAGTTGACCTTAGTATTTGAAACTTTCCACCTGCTCCAAAATCTCACCGTCGACCCTCAATACCCTCATAACTCTGTGAGGGTTTCTTCCAATGCAAATGCGTTTCGTCTTCTCAGGGTTAATTTCCATATTGATTTCTCTTAAATCTTCCTTTAGGATGTTAATGTTGTTCTGGAGGTCACGGTCATTCTGGGCCAATATGATGATGTCATCAGCAAACGCCAGCAGAGAGTATAGAGTAGGCTGCATATCTTTGTGACCCAACTGTAAACTTCGCATCTTCTCTCTTGCTTTCCCCAACACCAGGTTGAGAACCAGTACGAAAAGAAGCGGGCTCAGGCTACAACCCTCTGTCGTATGTCCAGTGTTGTTTTGAACTCTCGAGAGGTATGGTTTCTCGTTCTAACAAATTTAGTAATCCTCCAAATAATCATGGTTGCAATCAACAAAAAATCTGGTGTGGTGCGCATATCACACAATTTTCATTTACCTACCCTCTTCTTAGTATAAATAAATATCTTCAGACAAAGGAAAGTGCATGTGAACATTATTTAGAACAATTAAGTACCATATGTTTTTGATAGCCATCTAATGTATTACATTTATTTTGTTTTACACTAGCTATTTCCTTTTACAACTTTATATTTCAATTATTTACTGAATTATAATAAATAATTAAATGCCACAAAATATTTTTAGTCCGACAAGAGTGTCACTGATGAAGAAGGCCGCTATATTTATTTATATTTCATTGTGGGTACTTTTATTTGTTTAAGTACTGATATTAATACAAATTTTAATTTTTATGTCACTGTAGTCTATACAATTAAATATTAAATAATACAAACGATAGAATTTGTGAAAACCTCATATGTTTATGTATATAATATTATTGGAGTCCGTATCATATTAAGCTCGTGTTACGTATGGAAGCCTGTTCTAATCTTTTGGTTGAACTCGTGTGTGCTTGTATTCCTTTGCCCCCTCTTATTACAAGTATTCATCATTACGATATATTATTCCTCCTTTAGTTAATCATCAAATTCTTTCATATTTCATATTTAATTATTTTTTATATCAGAGTTAATTGTGAAATGGTTAATTATTTCAAATAAAAAAAAATTAGAGGTAATATAGAGGAAGAATTGTTAAAAATTATCCATTTAAGCCTTGTTAAAGAACATCAATAAGAATATAACTTACATTTTATTAAAAACTGCTAAATTTTACACTGATACAATGAATTTAATCAAAATCGTGAAAGCCATTTTCGAGAAAATCATAAAAATGTGTAAAATATATTATACAAAGTGCTGCTTCTGGTTAGTTGATTTCAATGAAAAAGTAATTAAATAAAGTAATAAAACATCAGAGCCATATACAAAGCTTAAATATGCAATTTCAGTTTTGTATGGCAAATAAATTTTCTTTTAATTGATAATTTTTTTTTCTAAAGTTGTGGAGTGATTTGACTATTTTTCCCGTCTAAAGAAGAAAATTTTCAAAATTATGGCGTAGTCATTGGATTTAATGGAGAATTGAGTTTTGATATGGTATGGAGTAAAGTTACCAATTATTAACATATCAATTTTTGCCCAAATTTGAAGATTAAGGTTGATCATGGTTGAACTTTCTTATGATCTCTGGCTCTCCATGACCGCCAAACTCGATGAAAGAAGTGCAATTGTAGTCTTTCAAGATATTTATTCATTCTGTCGTTATAATGCATTATTTTTTATCAATATCAATTATTATTCTGTAATGTATTTATTTTTAAAAATTAAGATTATTAATAAGAGAACCAGATCAAATTTATCATAAGTAGTTAACTGTTTTTATTAAATATTAGCTGTACCCGACAATACGTTGCTGTGGGTCAGTCTGTTTGAATAGAAAAAGAAATAAAAAAGAAAGCACATGTTTTTAATATATTTTATTTCACAATACTTGTGGATATGTCATTTTTTTGTTGTTCCATTCTTTGTATAGATATAAAGATTATCTGGTTTTCCAACTGTAGAATATGCAACATATAATTGTCTATGTGAGAAGCAATCTCCGAAGAAAAAGTACTAAATACTTAAAACATTATATCTCTGAACCAAATCGTCCGATTTTAGTGATTATTTTTTATTTGCAGAGAATTCAGGAAGCTTTCAAATAATCATGAGTATAATCAATAAAGAATGGTATACTTTTTGAGTTATTCTCAAATATAGTTCTGAATCCATCGTAACTTTTTTTCATACTCTTTTCGGGGAAGGATGTTATATATATCTAAATTAAAAGGGCTTCAAGGTGAAGACTTTATGCAAGTTTAATTAAAATACGAAACAGCCGTTAAGGCCCTACAGTCTATAGCAACACATGTTTTTCAAGCCGCCTAATTTAAAGGCCGGAGGGTAATTAAATGTTTATAAAAACTCTCCTGAATCCAATAAAAACATTATGTCAAAGTTTCAAAGCAATCGGTGAAGAAGTTTCGGAGATTAGCGGTTTTGAACAAATAAACATTTACATATTTATTTAGAAATAGAAAATAAACTTCATTCTGGGACGATGTCCTCTTAGAATAACAATAATGAACAGTTACAAAAGAAAAAATACTTATCGTTTTTATATAGATTTTTAAATATTTACATAAATTTTTTTTATAATATTGAAATGGGATGTACCATCATTTTTAATATGATATGGTACAGATATGATTGGGTCTTTGAAATGAACAAGTGGACTGTATTTAATGAATTATAATTATATTTAAACATTGAATAGAGATGGGGGTTTGTCGTATAAATGTTCTGCAATCGTTTACTTGATGTGGCTGGATGCTGACTGAGGTACGGTGGTCGGCCGGCTGCAACACTCCTCACCTCCAAGGGTCCGGTAAGTCTCAGGGTGTTCTACTCCATGCCTCTTCCCATGGTAGAACAGAGTATGAATTCCTAAGTCTTGAAGAGGGGAGAAAAGTCGTCTTCTCGTGTGGTTTTAGTCGCCCATTGTTTCTCTTACTACTACTAGTTTTTAGTGCAGACAGCGCCACCGTCGCTGCAGTGTTACCTACTTCACTGGTCTTTTACATGTACCCCATGAAGGGGGGGGGGAGTAATATCAATTTAGGGTGATCAACCCTAAACAAATATTATTAATCTAATTAAATTTTCTTTTTTTAGGTGAGCTCAGAAGAAGGAGTGAGGAAGGAGGAACCCAAATATATTTGTTTACTCTGTGAAAAGAAAGGGGATCCTAGAAGTGTTATGGTCCATCTAACTAGTCATAACCATGCTTTAAGATACATAGTAAGTATTTTATTTGTTGTTAGTAGTATGTTTGTGTACCAAACATTATTTAGCATCCAAAAAGCATTTTCAGAATTTGAATCTAAAATGTGTATCTTTTTCAATTAGATTAATTTTTGTTTCTAGATATTATATTTGTGATATATTTTTTAGAGCTGTTTCTTTAGAACTGCTGGAAATGTTATTAATTTAATACCGAAAACCCGAGAAAATCGTAAAGGAGTTGGAATGGCAGTTTCAAAAATTGCCGAACAAATTGAAAAGCATTATGGACGTCTAAAACCGACTTTAGCTGTAACTGAAACTTTTTCCCAGCAGAAATATGAAATCCTTCGTCAGATTGATGAGAAAGAGCATTTCAGGTTATTATTTTTTTAAATATTTTATTCTATTTTTCTTTTAATTTGTTAATTATATCTACAATCATTCCATAACATTTGTGCTATTCCCTTAGTATTTAATTTCTCCTGTGTCTGTGAATACATGAAAGGTCGATAGAGTAGGTTCCTGAACTAAATGAGAACCTAGATCAGAAATTTTATGTGCCATTTCAGTAGGTAACTGGAACATGGCATCTAATACTCCAGAAAACACTCAGTTACTACCAGATGTTGTGGAAGCTCACCAAAGCAGCAATGTAGAAACCTTCAAATGTCCATCTGCAGGATGTAGTAACTGGCAGAGCACTATTGCCAGGACATAAAGGAGGCCAAAAGAGACTCAATACTCTCTTTGGCCAGAAAGAACAATTTCATGTTTGTCAGCCCAAAGCAGAAAGTCTTAAATAAGAGCTCAAAGAAACAGAGCTCCTGGGCTTCTGAAACTGGAAAATATTCTGAACTACCTCCAGGAATTTTGCAATGGATGGATATTCTGTTATTCCTTATGAGTAAACTGGTTTTCAAGCTAGTTAAACACAGAACACCATCCCTCATAGCTGCAGACTGAAGTGAATACCAACTTCAGTCGGAACTAGAGAACGGCTATTGTCTCTATTTATTGTATGAAGGACTTTAATTATGTGTTTCATGTCCTCTGCCATAAGATTATGAGCTTTCTTTGAGCCATCCGTTTATTTAATAAAATAAACTGATAGAATCTTAATGAATTGTGTTGTTAAATTGTTCTATTTATTTACCTTATCCGTTCAGTCAAGATATGGCTATCTAAAGTCACCTCTATGAATATTATACTCATTTTTTTAAGATCGGTTAAGGTTTTTCATACGATTCCTTACCCTTCTATATATATTATAATTCTATGTAACAGTCAATTCCTTCTCTTTGTCGATTGCAAAGCATTTGGTAGCATGGACAATCAAATTTTAATTTATATATTATATAAAAATAAAGTCCTGTTTAAGATGATAAAAATGAATAAGGTGACTTTAAATAATGTATACTCAAAGATTATAGGAGAGGCTGTAGTCAAGAAACTTAGTGTCCACTCCAGTGTACGACAAGCAATGCACTGTCTGCTATATTGTTTAATATCGCTCTTCATGAAGCTGCAAAAGAAGCAGTCAAAACTGGTACTGTAATTAATAAGATGTGTCAAATACATGCTATTGCTGATCATTTGGTGATAATTGCCAGAAATGGCACTGCTAGTTATACTTTGGCAAGAAAACAAGATTGGTCTCATAATTAACAAGAAAAAAATATGAGAATGACGGACAGAAAAGCTCTTTGCCATTTCATATATAACAATTTGAATTTCAAAGGCCTGAAGAATTTCATGTACCTTGATTCATCTCTAAGTATCTAAAACATAATAACTCCTGAGATCGAAATCGAAAGAAATATTATGCTAGGGATTCGTGCATATTTTGTAAATCTAAAGTTGTTCCACGAACAACTTTTGTCCAGGAAGACCAAAACGAGGTTATACAATACTCTGTTTTGGCCCATGTTTACCTAAAGCGTAGCGACTGGATGCATCTCCCTTGTAGATAGTAATAAATTAATAATTTTTGAAAGAAAAGTAGTCAGGAAATTCTACGGTGCAAATTTCGTTGACAGAGTCTGGAAAATAAAGACAAACGACGAAATACAGAAAATTTTAAAGAACCCAGATATTATGAACTGCATAAAAGCATGCAGATGCAGATAAAATTGGCTGGACACATTGTATGGATGGATTAAGATTAAGTACAATGGAAGTTTATGTCCACTCCAGCATACGACAAGACGATGCACTGCCTGCTACATTGTTTAATATTGCTCATCATGAAGCTGTAAAAGAAGCAGTCAAAACTGGTACTATAATTAATAAGATGTGTCAAATATATGCAAATGCTGATCATTTGGTGATATTTGCCAGAAATGGCTCTCCCTTAAAAGAGGCACTGCCAGTTATACTTAAACAAGGATCAATACTGGAAGTAGTGATTGATGCCAAGAGAAGAAGAGGAAGACAGTAAAGCATTTATGGAGATTAAGATTAGCCTTTGGGAAAGATGTGATAATACTATGATTCCAGAATTGGAGAAAGATTACCATAAATGAGACAGAACAGGTTGGTTACAACAGGTTACAATTCTTGTAAAGCAGGACAAGGGTAAACCGACCTGTACCGCTGTGAAGTAAGTAACAGTCAGTTTTTAAAGTTATGCTTGAAAAGTGTGAATAATATACTTAAAAAAATTTTAACAAAAATATTGCTACTAATATATTTTTATTTATTATTTTTTTTTTTTAGGGAAACACCTTCAACTACGTTTATACAGTACTGTACTCCAGAAAAAATAAAGGAATATTCAAAATTAGCAGGTTGAATTAGTCTATTTATTTTTTTAATTTATTTCATTGTTTAATTTTTTTTTTTTATTGTTTTCATTGATGTTGCATTGCAGAAGATGAAATAATAAGTTCAATCAAGAACAGGAAGCCAGACGATTTTGATGAAATCAACCGTGGTTTTGATAAGTAATTAATTGATTTCTATTAAAATTTTTTTTACAGTATTATAAATGATTGTTTTCCAACCAAAATTGATTTTATAGGAACGATGCACCTAAAACATTCCCACAAAAAAAAATATTAGATAAGGCCAGAAATGTTCCAATTCAGGATAAATTTTCTGGGAAGCTTAGTTTTAGTATTGGAAAACCAGAAAGATCTTTAGGTAGGAACAAATCATCTGAACATCCGAATCAACAACCCATCGATGACAAAGATGATGATGATGAAGTTATATTTGTTCCATGTTAGTATAACTGTCATATTTTTATTTATTTTTTCAGGAACTATAGGTGTAAGCTAGGAGAAAAAGAAAACTTCTTTGAGTGAACATGATTTATTTTAGTATTCATAAAAAAAATAATGGCCTCTCGTAAATACTAATTTTATTGCTTACTGTGATATAAATATCTGGTTAATGGACAGTGCTTTCGATAAGTTTATTAAAGTGAAGATAGCAATTTTGCTTTATTAATTAGCCTCCTTATAATGCTCAATTTGTATCCATATTTTTAAATAAATAAGTACCAATATTTATAGGCACACGGTACTGTTTCATTAGCTGGGCGGGTCGAAACCTCACTAGTTATCTAACGTCATGTCACATAACCTCCCTCTTCTTATCTCGCCAAACCTTTCAGTTATTACATTGTTTATTTTTCAGTTATTCTCTTATTATGTTGAGTTATTAAATTCTTTATTTTTAGCCCGTTTGTGTTTATATTTCTTTTTTCTTTTATATATACATATGTTCTCTTAACTGTTTTTTTATTATCTCATTTTCATCTTTTATATGTAGATATGTTCTTTAAGTGTTTTTTCTATTACTTCATTAATATATATGTCTTAAAATAAAAGGTTTTTTTTTTGTTATTACATTTGTTTTTGTTTCTGTTTACAATTTCAATAATACGAAGATAGGAATTACGAGAAGGCTTAATCACTGCCTTATCGAAATTATCGGTGTTCAGGTTATAAACATTGGCAGATAGCAGTCAGTCCCGCCCTTCTAATGAAACAGTACCAGGCAAACAATTGTAATATATTTTAAAAGTTGTAAAAAAACCATTTCTGTGATAACCTTATTTAAATATTTTGCTAAAAGATAATGTTACAGGATTGTTATAAGTTTCAATGAATCTGATCTCAGTTCAGTTTAAACTTATTTTATAATATTATTACTGATTTGTAATCAAGCTTTTTTTCAAGGACCTGATTAATGTTTTTTAAAACTATTCAAGTTCTGTTAAAAGGCTTATTTTAGCATGTAAATTTTTACATATTTTCTCCATAAAATAATCAACGGAGGTCTAGCACTCAGGAACTGACACATGCTTCTATAGTTACTTTTAAACCAGAGTTATTTTTCTATTTTATTTTTATACCCTTTAATATAAGAAGATGTGTATCAATAAATCTGCAGAAGGTTAGATTTATGAATAAATGTTTTTTATAAATATAACTGATTGAACAGGCATCAATTCATTAAAAAAATTCCATGCTTTTGACAATTCTTTGATGATGAATACTGAATTAAAATTTTCACAATATATTTTTAATGATATTTCAAGAAAATAGATCCAAGGATATTATTCGACACAAGAGAAACCAATTTCCATTGAAAATTTATAAGGAAAAAAATGTGTAAGTTTAAAGTTTCGAAAAAACTTTTCTTGAGTTTTAATTTAACTCATATTTTTTTTTTTTCAAAATTATTGGAAAAAGAAGAAGTTTCAAAGGAACACATTTACAGTTATTAAGAAAAAAAGATTTGTAAAAATAAAAAATAGAATTTTTAATGGTAGAGCCAAAAAACTGGTTTTCTGTGACTCAATATTTAAGAAAAATCGATTCTTTACATGGAATGTAAAATCCAAATGAAAGCTTTAATATTATTTGGTCCAGATATCCTTACAAAAAATTTGTAAGATTATTTACAATACTGGAAATATTACAGAACGTCATCTGTTTAAGATTCTTAGAGAAACAGTGTTTTTAATGATTGAATCATTAAAATAAAAAATTAAGAAAGAGAAGATGAAAACAGCTAATTTTACTTGCAGAGAATTGACTTCTTGACAAAAAAAAAAGTCTTTGACAGGAAAAACCTGAAAGAAATGTTTCAAATTGCTGAAGAACCTTAGGTGCAAGAGCTGATTAATTTTTTATTTATATTGTATTAAAAATAAAAAATGTTTTTATGTAAATTTTTTATTTATATTGTATTAAGAAATTCAAAAATATATATTTATCTAAAGATTTAGACGTTGAGTTTTATTCAAAAGCCTGAACATAAATTACGCATTTATGAAAAAAAAACCAACTTGGTTCCTCCGCGTATCACAAGCATTTTAACTATGTTCAAATTCTCGTAAATATATTGACACACATATCTAATTGTTTATTAAGAGCTTTAGTTTCAGAAAAAAAATTATTTACAATACTTTTTGGGTGTTAGACCTCTCTTAAATAATGAATAATGTGAAATTTCTATTAAGAATTAATAGTTTCACTGTTCGATGTAGTTGAGAGGTTTGGATTCACATGTATTATTTATCTACACCTACACTTCTACTACCATGTAGTACAAACAAATTCTTTTGTTCGTGAGTTTTCTACTTTTTGTAACAAAACCATTTAGTGAAGGTTTCAAACAGTTTGCTACAAAAGGAGGTAGCTCGTTCTAAATATTTTTTTTTACCCATATTTACAGAATAGTGCATGGAAGTCTAATCTCTTCCACTGTGGAGCTTCCTTTGTTTTGTAGTAATTCCATTGATTTTAATAAGATTCATAAGACATAAGAAAAGAAAAAAAGTGTTTTAAAGATTTAAAATAGTGAAGTTTATATTGACATTTTAAAAATAAAAACAACTATATTATGACTTGTTAGCAAAGTTCCAGTTTTAATATTGTAAGATTATTACTTTCATATTAATTTCCCTTTTATTGGTTTGTTTGAAACAGAATTTTCGTTTTATTTGTCATTATTGCCGTTATATAGCTATAACCTCTTAAAATTAGATTAAACATGTTCTTGCATTTTTGCATTACATTAGATTAAAAAGAACAGTAACCTTTTGTATTTATAAAGATACAGCTAACGTAATGTTGGAAGAATCCTCTTACTAGAATTTATCGTTCTTTTCAGCAAACAATGAACCTATTGAAGTACGATCTATGTCATCGATTTCTTCTGCATCTGAGGAGTCAAGGATGATAAGACACCGATCCAGATCACTTGTTCGGTCTCGGTCCAGATCTAGATCCAGGGGTAGAGGGAGAATGCGGTCACCGTTAAGAAGAAAAGGACGTTCTATTGAAAGGAGAAGAACACCTCCTTATAGGTAGGTAATTAAATTCCCTACAAAAAGAAAATTTGTCTGAAATAGGTTGGAAAGAATGATTATATAATTAGATAAATCATATATTTATATATATATGTTTTTAAATTTATTTATAAATAAAGTTAATTTAAGTTTATTATTCACATTTGCAAATTATATGAATATCAGAAATACTTTTTTTTAGGAGAGATAGACATCGTAGTAGATCAAGTAGATCAAGATCAAGGCAACGTTATTACCGTGAACCTATGTATATGCGTGGCGGAAGGGATGATATTGACAGGCTTAGGATACATCCTAGGCTAAAGCGATCGTTATCAAGGGAAAAGGATCGTGACAGGCTAAGGTAAGTTGAAGCACTCTGTTAATGGTATATTTATTTAACGTGGATTTTTTGTTATGTTAGTTTTATTGAAACTCGCTTTTAGGGCACTATTGGCTGTAGTGCTAAAGAAAACTATTGGTCTCCTCTTGGGGATTTATTTGCTAGCCACATCATTTATACAAAGGTCCTGCGTAAAAATTGCTGTGGATACAGCCCCCTTCAATCTTTGGTCACTCTTAGGGCACCATTGGCTCTAGTGGTAAAGAAAACCATTGGTCTCATCTTAGGGAATTCTTTGCCAGCCACTTCGATCTTGGATGGTCACTGGAAAGAAAAGGAAAAGAAGTTTTAGAAACAGGTTTCTATAAATGTACCTGGCTTATTAAAAAGAAAAAGGTACATTCTTGTTAATATTGGCTTGATGTTGTAGAGGATGATTTTTAAAAAATGGAAATAACAGACTCGAATGAGTGGCAAGACCAGAAGATTGTAAGGGAAGCCTAGGTCCATGTTACACTGTTGATTCAATGTTCATGGATTCCGGATAATCTGAGTTGTATGGAATCCTGGCACACCTTAAATTGTTGGAATAATATCAAGAAATTAAATAAATTAGACCTAACTTGAAGCTGGCGACAAAAACAAACGAACAATGCTTCACTTGTTTTGTTTTTTTTCTTATTCATTGGTTTCCTTACTCAGTCTAGATGTCAAAATAGTCTTAGTTAATTTTTTTACTGGCTTTCGCCATTCTGCATCTAGTTACCTGCAATGGCTTTTCCACAGTTTACTTTAAAAAAAATACCGTTATCAATCTCAGATAATACTTTATCAGCCTTAAGAGGCAGAGATAGAGGTTTACATTTACTCATTATAATAAATGTGTAGCCACATTGAAATATTTTGGGCTGAAGTAACAATGCATCAGGGAAAAGCAGTGGGAGTCTTTTAACTATAGTTCTGGCAAGGAATGTTAATGTATTTAGCTTTATTTTTTCCAAACGAACTGTAATTTTCATTTCTTAAGAATGCTTATTAAAAACCTATGAACATATTAAAAAATCAGGCATTGATGACTCTCACGTTTTACACCTTAAAACTCCGACTAACAAACATATTAAAAAAAATATTGAAATGTTCTTATAATTTATAAAAAAAGTCAGATTGTCGAGATTCTATTTTAACTAAATTTATGGCAACTTAAATACATTCATTTATTGTAATGTAAATTTAAGAAATTGTTCTAACGATGAGAGTGATGTCCAAAAATTTTATTTTAAAAATGTCCAAAAAAGTCTATTTTAAAATGATGCATTAGTTATAAAATAATAAAATTAATGGAGGAAATCTGGTTGACTTAATTTAATTAAGTGCTACTATTTGAACTAAACCTGGATTAATTGTTGAATATAAAAAGGAGGTAATACATTACATCAACTAACTACAATATTAATTGTATTTATTTTTATAAAATTAGTAAGAATGATAAATTTACCATATTATAACTTTTTCTACACTGTTCTGATATATCATAAAAAGTTTTTTATTGTAGGTATGAGGCAAGAATTAGAATGGAAAGAGATAGGCATAGAAGATCATATTCTTCAGAGAGAGACAGGTATTTTTGCTAAAATGCATCATTCGTTATGTTGCATTTGTTTATGGGATTATTAATTTTGTTTTTATTTTTTATGTTATAGAAAAAGATTAAGTCCACATTCCAAAGGCAGGCATGATAGGCTGAGTCCCAGACATGATAAATCTCCTGAAATGAAAAAGAAGAAATTGCAAAGTGATTATAAGTCTAAAATGGAAAGTTACAGATCTAAGTTGCATGATTTGGAGGTGGAAATGGATAATAAACTTAAGTATTTCAGAGAACGTCCAGAAAAGCATCCTCAGTACTCAGAGGAATGGAAAAATTTCTGGAATAGGCGATATAAAGAGATCCAACAATCGGGTAAAGATCCTAATTCATATGATTTTAAACCTGAATGGATTATTTTTTGGGATGAACGAATGAAACAGCTTCATGAAGAAGAGCTAAATGCTAAGAAAGAAGAACTAAAAAGTTTACTTCCAGTAGAAGAAAAAGGGCCTAGTAGCGATCTTCAAGACATATCACCTCCAACACCTGAAAGTCAGAAAGATGTTACAGTGGACGATATTAAAAATACCTGGAAAGCTCTCACTGGCTCTGATATTAAAGCTCCCCCTAAACAAAAGTCTCCCTCACTTGAGAGGAAATCTCCTGTGAGGAGATCACCTTCCCCATGGGAACTGGAGAATCGTATGGCCCAACCGAAGTCTGCAAAAGTAAAGCATCCTTGGGATGCTGCTCCTCCTATAGTGCATTGTCTTAGAATGCTGTCTGTCCTCGAGCAACAGCTTGGTTCCCTGGGACCTAAGGCATTAGAGCTCTTATCCAAAGCCTTAGCCATGGAAAAGTCTAAAAATAATGAATCTATGACTTTACTACATGATGAAGAGATTCATATATTTTTTGAGACTGTTAAGGAAAAGATAAGAGGCCAACTCATTGCTGGAATAGTTGTAAGATACTTAGTAAATTCATGTCGCTCTGTGATAAACACAATTGAAAGTATGCTTGCAGCTTATCCCGCGAAACCCAAGCAGCCAGTACCACCCACTCCTGCTGTAGTACCTCCTGCAATTATTCAACCTGAGCCGGTTAAAGTTGCTGGTGTGGGTATGGTCAACAAAATGGCTGTAGCTCAGCAGATAGCTGAGATTTTAGTTGCTCAAGGGAGAACCGATGTTTCACAGCAGGAACTAGAAGAACTTATAAATGCTGTTGTTGGCATTGCTTCTTCTTCGAACGCTAATGTAAATCAGTCATCTACAGCTTTCATATCTCAGTTAAATATTCAAAATTCCACTGCCACTTCACACATAAATGAACTCCTGGGCAACCTCATTGCTTCTGCTCAAAAAAATTTAGGTCCACCTTCAGTTGTTCCTGTTGAAAATATTCCTTTAGAAGCAGTAGATGCGGTCACCCTTTCACAGTTTCCCACTTCGTTTGTCCAATTTCCATCAACAACTTCATCCATCTTGAACATACCAAGTGCATCTAAACTATTAGATACTGTTACTAATACGAAAATTGAACCATTAATTAAAAGTATTTCTGCACCTAGTAATAAATCAGATACTGTTCCTGAAAAAGTGATTGAAAAGGATAGTGGCAATTCGGTTTCAGACGAAGACCTCAAAGAGCGTTTAATTAAATTTAAATCTCTCAGTAGGGATGAACAACAAAATTTAATAGCATTACTTAAAGACCTGGAAAGCAAAGATCCCCAGAGAGTTGAAAAACTGAGACAGTATGTTGCTGTTGGCTTGACACAGCAGGCTTCTGGGAATGATTCAAGAGGTGATGCACCACATAGTGAAAATTTAAAAGATGGCAGATTGTCTCCTTTTTCTTCAAGAAGTGGTGGTACAAATCCTGTTGCTGAAGAAAAGATTTTATCCAAACCTTATTCTGCAGATAGTGATCGTGATGAAGAGGATGATGATTACAGTGTTGAAGATGTTTATAAATCTGTTAGTGAAAAGTTAAAAAAGAAAGAAGACGAAAGGAAAACAGAAATAAGGCTGAATTTGCCTCTAGATATTTTAGATGAGAATAGTACATCATCTCGCCACAGTTTCAGTAATCCTGGAAAACCATCTCTTACACCTCCTGCATATTCTCAAACAAAAGTTTTTAATTCTGATCCCAAACCAGCACCATACACTCCGCAAAACCCACCTCAAGCCACCAAAAATGAGTATATGTATTCAGTTGCTGAATCTCCGAATCTTCCCCCATCTGAACCATTTCCTCCTCCTGTACAGCATAACTACTCTGTTCAAGTTGATAATCCTCATTTTAAAGGAGGCCAATGGGTTGGTGGTCCTCCAATGGGTGGAGAGAACGAATGGTTAGGAAATGAACAGTGGTCTCATGGTGGGAATCAAGACCCGTATTCTGCAGCCTCAAGAGTCGGTGGTTTCCCAAATATACCAAATACCTATGAAGGTGGAACTTACAATGGACCACAAGATCCTTATAAAACAGTTCCTGGGCCGTATTATAACGCTGAACAGGAACCTCGTGGATACATGGGGGGAGCTCCTGTTGATAAATCATATGCTCCTCCATACAATGCCAATCAGCAGCCATATCAATCTGGTATGTACAGCAGTCAAGGGGGACCTTACAGTTATCAGAAACCTCCTGGGCAGGGTGGTTATTATAACAACTATAGACAGTATTGATAATTCTGTTAGTGTAAATTATAAGAAATTTTATATTTTTTGTACATGAGTTATATTTCAGAAAGGTAGTGTTTACCTTATATTTTGTTTTTATTCTCTGGTCAGAGATAAATAAATGTTAATTTTAGTTAAATCGAGTCCTTATTGTTTTTTTTAAGACATGTTATTTATTTCTAAATGTTGTAATATAGTTTATTCCTGCTAAGATTAAATATAGTTTATAAACAAAAAACTGACTTCTCTTAATAATCCAATCAGTTTGTACTTTTAATGTTCACTTTTGATACATTTATAGCCCCGTGTATATTTCAGTTTCTGTTGCTGTACAAAGTTATAACATATAAATAATCTTTGATGATAACTTCCATACTTCCAACACTTAATATATGGTATCCAACTGGATTTTTTATTTATTAGATTGTTTATAATTTTATAAGCATTAATTTAATATTGTTATTTTTTTTTTAAATTATCTTTGTTACTTACTCAGTGATTTAAAATAATAAATTTTCCTTTTTTTTACATATGACAAATCACACTTTGTTAAGCCAAGAAAATTGTAAATATGACAACATGACAAAAAAATTGTGGATAATAAAAGGATACTATGTATTTAGTGAAAGGTCTGTGAAAATAGAAGTAATTCCGAAAAGTTATGAAACAAAGTGTTGGATGTAATAAGACATCTATAATTATTTTATGCAAGAAGCTGTGAAGAACAGAACTGACAAGTTTCAGTAACGAAGGAGTCCACCAAATTTACTCCGGCTAATGTTCTCACGGGAGCCTTACCCAGCGCGAAGCATCACTGGTGTTCAATGAATATGAGATTGATGCTCAATCCTATGCGGGTTTATTTAAGACCAATGTCATATGTGTAGGAAAGGGATTATTGACTAGACCCTCATTAGTTGGTATCTTAAAATTCCGATTTTATGTAACTTATACTATATCATTAATGTTTAAATATATGTACCTATGATTTAAGTTTTTGAAGTAAATTGTGTTGAGTATATATTGGCTTTTTCTTTAGCCACCGAAGTTCTCCAAATACTCAAGCAGTCCCTTGAACATTACTTTAGTTGTTACTGTACAATTTTTTAGTAATATTTGTATTTTCTGTAAAGGAAAAATGTTAGCTAAGTTTGTTATAAAGAAATGTAAAAGAAAGTATTTATGACCCATGATATCTCATACCAGGATGCTCTGAAACTTATACTCTCAATTTGGATTCCGAATATCAAGAATGGGAGGGATGCATTCTTATACTTTAAACAGAAGTTTTTATGTATGAGCAAGGCTTTTCATTTTTGTTGGATCAGGAACTGATTCTAAATGCCAACTTCAGATTGAGGCTTATATACATTTCCTACTATTATCTATTAATTAAATATGAGAAAAAAATTATTAATAAAAAATGCAATATTAATTTTCATAGTATGATTAAATGATGATAGTATCTCCAGATAATACTTTCTTAAATATTTATTTGAATCATTCTCTGTTATTTTCAGCATACTATCCAAGAAGTTAATTTTGACGATGTGTTGTGAGAATATTTTAATTAATTTTTGTCATGTTTATGTCTTATTCTTCAAATATGTGGGTAAGGCCTAAATAATAATCTGTTAATTATATTAAAAAAATCACTCCCTGTGAGAGCATTTCAGTGTTTTTTTGATATGGCCCTAAATGCTTATCCCATTATACTTTTCTTCTGGGACTTCTTTTGGCAGAGTTCTGCAGATAACAAAGCATGCTTAGTGGCTGTAGATCCATATAATCAATGCTTTTGTGTAGTAGGTTACATATGCTGATGGTTTCAATCTACTTACAATTTACATTTTCGAGTGTGTAATTGGATTTATATCTATTCATGAAACCACCAGAACAAGAATCCATACCCAGAAGCTACTCTACACAAGTGTTTGTGTCTGTGGGTGGGGGCGTGATTGCGTGTGTGCTGATTGTTGTAACCATGTGATAAAAACACATGGGAACATTTTGTTTTTCCATATCCTTCTCACTAGAACTTATTGGCATGCATGAGAAAAGAGGGTTGTTCTAGAGGAACAGCCAAACCTATTATAACAGAAGTGGGGAGGTCAAGATTCATTCTGAGCGGCCACTACAAAATAAATTTCTACCCTTCCAGATCGGATTCGAACCTGAGTCTGTAGACTTGAGAATGTTAAGGTTTACAGTTTACTCAGCTCGACCATCACAACCTCTAAAACAGATGGGAACTGATTCAGATTATTACAATATTATACATATTGCAATGTTTAATAAAAAGTATATTCATTAATTTTGTCCTCTTATTGAAATTATAGCGGTAGTCTTGCTGATGAAGTGGGAATTTTACATCAGCATAAAGGCTATTGTTTGTTGTGCGAGACTTGTTACATAATCCGCCAAGGTACTCTGCCTAAGATCCAACACATCTGGGTTCGGGTTTTTAAAAACATTCCCACTTCCTTTGACAACGTTACGTCCACGGAGCTCTGTTGACCGCCCAACTTATCTCAAACAGCTAGAATCGCACCATTGGATAAACAGCACCCAATTCCTACTGATTCTATTCCTAGCCATTGAGGGAAAACTGGCTTCATCTTCATCAAATCTACATGTTTATCATCATACTAAGGGACAAATCTTACACGATCTAACGATAATTGTTAAAACTTATTTTCAACACACTAACTAACATGCAAGCGTTAGTGAACAAATTATTTGTAGTCTCAATGATTGTATATATATCGTTGTGAGTTAGAGGTGTTTCCTGTCTTACACAGGAGAAACTGAAATTCAGACTTAAAAATCGAACAACTCCTTGACGTCTTTTTAGGTTACCGATTTCAATGAAACTTTTTGGTGATACTTGGCCGAAAAATATTAGAACCATGTCCGAGGATTCTGACCTATGCGCCCTAGGAGCCGAGAGAACATTTATTTTTTTTATATTACTGTTTTCTAACTTTTCTCTGCATGGATTTCTAATTTTCTATACAGGGTGTTTCATAATTGCACGGCACTATTTTAGGTAAGTGTTCACTAACACAAATTAAACATATATCAAAAGTTAAAGATTTATTATCATTATTTATTTATTGTTATAACAACATTTAGAGTAACTGTTCAATGTGGCCTCCGTTTTGTTGAGTGCAACATTCAGCACGCCGAATCCATGCTTCTCTGGCTCTTCGTATAGCATGAGTATGGTGGTGCTTGATAGTTACTCCGGTTTCCACGATCCGATTTCTTAGCTCTTCTTGCTTGCGAACTACCGCCGAATAAATCATAGACTTCATCCAGCCCCACACAAAATAATCTAATGGCGTTAAATCCGTAGATCTTGGTGGTCATTTAACAGGTCCGTTTCGACCAACCCATCGGTCTCCATAAGTTGCATTTAAATAATCAGTGACACTATGAGAAAAGTGAGCTGGAGCAACGTCATGCATTAACCACAGCCTTTGCCTAATGACTAGCGGAATATCTTCTAGCAGTTCATGAAGATTATTTTGCAAAATATGCAAGTAAGATATACCTGACAGCCTAGATGGCAAAAAGAAGGGGCCGATGTCGCTTAAGACCACACCAGACATTTAAAGAAAAGGTATGTTGGTAATGTCCAACAGCAGTCGTATGAGGGTTTTCTTCAGCACAGAATGGTTATTTCGAAAATTAAGAATCCTGTTTCTTGTAAAGCAAGATTCATCAGTAACCAAAATGCAGTTCAGGAAATTAGAATCAAGTGTGAATTGTCGAATTAACCGCTAGGAGAACTTTCTGCGTTTGTTATAATCTTGTGGTAACAAATCTTGCCTACTCGATACGTGAAATGGATACAATTGTTGTTCGCCATACGCTGGTAGAGGTAACATCGAAACGACGTGACAAGCTTCTGGTGCTAGTAGTAGGAGAAAACAGCATCGAGTATTTTTTCTTCAACGTTTGCAGTTTGTCGAAATCTTTATCGACCGGTATTTACTCGTATAGGTTTTGGCTTGCCATTATCCCTAAGGCGTCAAACCAATTTTAATATTACAAAAACCCAAAGAGGCTTCCAATAAAGTAGGCCAAGTGACTTTGGTCGTAAAAAATGACCCAGATTCGTTTTTAGCGTCCACTTATAGTCTTAAATATGAATTTGTTTTTAAATCAAAAACCAAAAAAAAATTCTTATAAAACTTAATTTTATGGGAGAGTTTTCTTTCATGCCGTTTACTAATGTATTTATAAATATTTTCTAGTCACATCCTTCAAATTTGGTGCCATTTTCTCATAAGTTTTTTTATATATATTTTAGGCCAAAGGTCGCCAAATGTACACAGTTTTTACATCCTGTATTCTTTATTCGACGTTTCGGCTTCAGGGGCCATTTTCAAGATCCTGCAAAACTAATTATACTGATAGTTGTTAAATAATATGTGTCTGATAAGGATGTATTTTTAATTATAAAAACTGAATTATAATTAGTTTTGCAGGATCTTGAAAATGGCTCCTGAAACCGAAACGTCGAATAAAGAATACAGGATGTAAAAACTGTGTACATTTGGTGACCTTTGACCTAAAATATATATAAAACAACTTATGTATTTACAACTCCTCAGGATTTTCTTATTAGTTAACGTTACTACAGTCGTTGGAAAGCTATATTATTACTCTTCAAAACCATATCATTAACTCCTTGATTGCACGTCTTTATGAGGAATAAATAAACAAAATCTTCCCAAATGTTTGTATTTTTTATCTCCAAGTCTAATTTATTTGTGGGCATCTGGCCTGTACCATTTTATGTATATTATAGGGCCCTAACTTCATGCCGATTGGAGCCATTTCGAAGTTATCACAATTTTTGTGATTTTCGAAAAAATATCCTCGAATCCTGGCCTCCTCTAGCAGTTTGTCCGATTGTCTCAGTTCCTTGCAGCCGCCAATTTGCAATCCAATTCCGAACCTTCAGCATATTTGTTGCATCTTATTCCATTTGCATCACAGCTTTGGTCCTGGCGGCATTGAATAGCTCCATCAGCAGTTGTCTTGGTGAATCCTCACTGCCCATTCCGCCGACGTGTCCTGCCCATTTCAGTCTTACAATCTTAATGACTTGAACTATATCGGGCTCCTTAAACATGGTGGTCAGCTTCTGGTTTTTCTCCTATTTCCAATCTCCTCCGACGATAACACCATCATAAATACGTCTGAGGATTCTTCTCTCAAACACTAGGATTTCCTGTTCACAAACTCGGGAGTAGTCTAAGTCTCAATCATAAAATAATACTGGACGAACTATCGACTTATAAAAAGATAACTTTAAATCTTCTGGAGAGAGCTCTGCTTTGCAATACAGCCTGGAAGGAGCGCCTCACGCAAAATAATATCAACAGTAACAGAATATGAACTTGTACGTACTTTCACTTACGTATTTTATATTAAACTTAATTATTGAGATATTACAATCTGTCACATTCAAGGAAAATATTAATAGTGATATAGAGTAGCTCATTCATACCATGTTTATTAATGACGTGATTTATATCACTGGTTCAAACAATTATATGATTTATGAAAATGGTAATATTTTAGTTGTCTATATAAACGTATGTCTTTGTAAATTTGTTAATTGTCTATATATAGGTACTTTACATCAACAACGGTTTGTAATCTAATGTTATTCAATTTCAAAATAAAAAATTAGCTTATGCAAATAATTTCGACTGTAACTGTATTTAAGTTATTTTCTGAGTCAAATCGTTATAATATAACTAAGGATATATAAACAGTTTACAAGAGTTAGTCATACAAATGAAATGAAGAAAAAAAATCAAACAGAAAATATACTAAATTTTTCAAATTTCTGATATCCTGTTTATAATAAACAGATGAAGGGGGGGAGGGTTTAAGGTGCTGATTTAATTTAGCTTGACGTTATTACGCTTACTTTAGTGAAACAAGCAAAAAACAAAACGTAAATATAGCTCATGTATATCTTTCTTTAGGTATGTAAGGGCTGAAATAGAAAATAGACTTGTTTGTTTTTAACAACACTGCTGAAAGCCGGCATGCTTTGTTGTGTATAAACTTTGTCAATATTTTAGAAGGTTATACTTTTAAAAGTAAACGGACTCATGTTCTGATAATACATACATTAATAATTATTAATATTGTTCTATTGGTTTTTGTGTGTTTCTACTTTTAGAAATTACTCAGATTTTAAGAAAAGTTTATTTTAAATTCAAACATGGATGCAGATCTGTATGATGAGTTTGGGAATTATATTGGACCAGAATTGGAATCAGATGACGAAGATGATGATGAATTACAGGATAGAGAACCAGAGGGAAGAGATTATGATGTAAGATTGATTTTAAGTTTCAAAATATATCATTGTTAACAAAACATTAACTGGATTGCTTTTGTTGCCAGTTTTACTTATTCATCTACTGTTCAAAAGAAATATATGTATTATATCATTTTAACTAATTTTAAATGACTAATTTTCGTACCACTTGGCGATTCACTCTTTAACTTACATTCCATGAGCTCCTTTTTGAATTCATCAATGGTTTCTTGAATTAAAATGATGGCTATTTGTATTAATTATCAAGTATCACATCAGGATGGCATGAGTTCCAAGATCACAATCAATGCTGAAAATAGCCAAGTTTGTTTGATTAATAATTTCATAAAATGCTAACATTAAAATTTCGGTACTGGTTTGCAAGTGATCCGCACAGATTAGGTATCATTTACAATCACTTTGCTTATGCTTGTTCATAGAATGCGAAAAATGATTGAATGTTGCCAACAGTTATGGTGTTACCTCTTATTCTCTTTTTATTTTTTATTGTTTAAACTTGTGTTTCATCTCCATAGAACTTTCTGAAATTTGGTGCACATAAGTACTTAAGTAAGGACAATTGGGAAATTTATTAATTTATGAATTATAAGTCGAGAAACTGACGAGTGTTTCATTGTAAAAATAAAAAGACAGGAAAGTAACAACTCTATTAGAATGTATTAAAAATAATATAAAAGAGAAAACCACTATTTATTCTGATTGTTGGAAAGGATAAAATACCCAACAACTAAATGAAGCAAACTACAATCATTTCCAGGTGAATCACCGATACAACTTTGTCGATCCTTCAAGTGGGTTCCTTACTCAACATGTAGAATGATTATGGGACCCATCTAAGTGGAAGAATAAAAAACATCGAGGAATTGCTAGACAACACCTCGATTCATATTTATGTGAATTTTGTGGCGGTGGATCCGCAGAGAACAAGAGTAGTTCATATAAACAGATGATATAGCTGTCCCTGGAAGTAATCAAGAAGACATTGAGAAACTCACTACAACACTGATAAGAGAGACAGAGCAGATTGGCCTACAAGAAAATGAAGACAAAACAAAATGTATGATAATAAGCCGAAAATTCCAACCCAATAACAGGATCTGCGTAGAAGGAAAATCATTCCCGAGAGTAGAAAAATTGAAATACCTTGGCTCCACAATAACCTCAATGAATAACCAACGGGCAGAAATAGACCAGCGTATAACTTGCAAGCTTTCTTCTTCATCTCAAAGGTATTGAAATCTCAAACTAAGGATGTACAATGCTATGATAAAGCCAGTTCTAATATATGGCTGTGAGACCTGAACAATAACAAACACCCTAGAAAAAAGTTTTCAAAGATTTGAGAGAAAAATCCTCCACACGATAACTGGAGCGATCTGGGATCAGCATACTAACACATGGAGAAGAAAGACCAATAAAGAACTGATTACAGAAACTGGTCAATCAATATCCCATGATATGAAGGCAATGAGGTTAAAATGGGCGGGACATGTAGCTCGTAGCAATTCATCAGGAAGCCTCTACATCACAATGAATACCTTAATAGAAGGCAAAAGACCACGTGAATGGTCATAAAGCAGATGGATAGATAGAATCAACAAAGATGCTATAGAGCTGCGTACAGATAAATGGAAAGAAATAGCCCAAGACAGGCAGAGATGGAGCAGGCTTGTTAAGGTGACAAAAGATCTACAGTAAAAAATGCCAACAGAAAAAAAAAAAATTCTACCATTTAATCACTTTAGTTCAAGAATTAAGTTAGCTTCCAAAACAATTCCTGGTTTAGTTCCATTTTGATTTTATTATTTTATAATATTGTAAGTTAATTAAAATTTAACTAAAAAAGATGATGTTTGGTTGGCTGAACACACATTTTCTTCAAAATGTGGTGTTTAAATCTGTAGCATTAGCAATTTCAATGTTTGTGATATTTTATATTTTCTTTTTTAAAAATACTGTTTCTACTATAAAAATGTCATTACATCATTGTGACTGGAACAAGATCACATCAATCACACAATTAATGGATTTTTTAATTTTATTTCAAGTGATACATTTTATTTGTTCCTTTTCCAAATTTAATTATGATTGAGAAAACCTATGACCTTTTATTTAATTCTTATTTCAGGATGATGCTGATGCTATGGAAGATGGGACCGAAGATATGGAAAACAATACCATGTCTATTGTTCTCCATGAGGACAAAAGGTATTACCCCTCAGCCGCAGAAGTATTTGGCCC